TGAGAGTTAAGTATGAGGTATACATGTATGCAAGGTAGGTCCAAGAAAAAAGAGATGGAAATCGTAAGGGGGCTAGTAAAAATATAGCATGACAGTATATTTAGGCCCCCTCCAAAAAACAAATGAAAGTGGAAAATGGAATGCAAGTTGTCCTAGGAGTGGTGAGGGAATTTTGAATACAGAACGTAAAGTGGGGAAAAAACAAAGATGTTAATCATCAAAAAGGGATACAAGAATTTAATAGAGACTACACATAAGAAAGGCACAAGTTGGAAATTATGAATAATGCAAGGTAGGCCCAAGAAAAGTAGGATGGCAGTCATAAAAAAGGGATGCAGGTACTTAGGCCTAGTACATGTGGGAGGTTTATGCAAAGGAGGCCCAAGAACAAGTTATGGAAGAATTAAGTTAATTGTACATACAAGGTCAGGAAAAAAAGAATAGAAGTTGCCAAAAAGATACAGGAATTTAAAATGCAGCCTACGCAAGGTGGGCAAAAGAAAAAACAAAGCAAATAAAAGAATTAAGAATTTAGTGGAGAGTACATACAGGGTAGGCCCAAGAAAGGGATGCAAACTGTCAAAAAGGGATGCAATAATGCAAAAATTCAGTTCATAGTATATGAAATGGCAGGCCCAAGAAAAAGGGCATGTTACCTAAAAAAAAAAAAAGAGAGAAGAAAAGCGAGAATGTTTAAATAGCGTATGGAAGGTAGGAAGGTATCTTGGAAGAGACATTTGGCCAGATGGTAACTAGAACCAAGAAATCAAAAGGAGAATGAAAGTGAGGTCGGCAGCCTTCAGCATGTACATATATACCGTTTAAACTGTTTAAAAAGGAAACTGTTCCACCAGTGTGTTTTGCCATCCATGGCATGTGGAAGCAAAACATGATATCTGAGAAAAGAAAAGCACAGAAAAAATTTAACAGCCAAAGAAGCATGAACAGATGATACTTGGATGCAAGAGGAGATGCCAAACACATACATGTTTGGGAATTAAAACAAAATCAATGACGAATTAGTATCAGCAAAAAGGCTACAATAGAAATAGGCTGTACACCAAGGCAGAATAAAAGATGAAAGATGAGGCAAAATCACAATTCAGAATGACAACTTCTCTCTTTAAAAAAAAGTGGCAGACCTTGAGAAAGATAGGAATATCAGAAGGTTTGCCACCTGGGATCAACAACCTGGCAAAGATGTACATGTATACACAGAACAGAAGTACTTGGCACAGTTTGGGAGAGGCCTTTTCCCAGTGGTGGAACAACATTGGCTGAAGATGTGTATATAGAAAAAAATTCAGAAAAAGAGATGCGATCATGAGTCATCAACAAGGGATGCAGAAATAAGTCTTTTGCAAGTTAACTTTGACCCAAATCTGGTACACTGAGTTCTTTAAATCTACGTGAACATAACAACTTGAATTCTCCTTACTTCAACCACTGTTGCCATACCTCGTGATTCGGGGCAAGCTTTTGCTTAGTTACATAAGAGACACCTTGCAATACACGGTTCTTAATGGATAAGAAGGGTACAAAGGAACCAGTCCATTCCAGAGTTGGTGGTCGCTATGCAAAAGCTTGCCCTGAATCATGAGGTACATGGATAGCAACAGTGTCTTTGGTCTGGGGAATTCAAATCATTATGTTTATGTGCAGTCAGATAACTACATGTAAGTGCACAAGATTTTATTCAAATTTAACTCGCAAATGGCTTATTTTAGTACATAATATATGCAAGAAGGTCCAAGAAAAAGGACTGTGAGTTGAGAAAACGGTTATGAGAATGAAGGTACAATGTACATAGGCCATCGCATATGCAAGATAGGCACAGGAAAAAAAGGATGCCAGTGGTTGGAAAGGGATGCACGAGTTTGGTTCACACAGTTAGGCCTTGGTATGGACCAAAGAAAAATAGAATACGAGTTGTAAGAAAAAGATGCAATATCACGTCCAATCATTTCCAATGGTTGGAAAGGGACACAAGAGTTTGGTACATAAGGCCTTGGTCTGGAGCAAAGAAAAATAGAATACGAGTTGTAGGAAACAGATGCAACATCATGTCCAATCATTTCTAATGGTTGGAAAAGGATGTAAGAGTTTGGTACATAAGGCTAAGCTCGGCCTCGACCAAAGAAATAAAGGGATGCAATCTGTTTTCATGTCTAGTCAATAGGCAGACCTTAAAACTGGAGTTGAATGGTTGAGTACAACATGGTGCCTGCACCTGAGGAATTTATTTCAACTATGGGAACATTGCTTTCATAAAATTTTTTTTGTATAAGAAGGTTCACATGGTACAATTGGGTTTGTAATAACTGGGTTGGAAAAAACGTTTTTCCTCCACTTAATTCGCAACATCATCACAGACTAGGCATTTCATCTTCTGGGCCTAAATTGCACTTTCTTTAGTAACATGCACAAAGTTTTTTTTTACCCTAATTCCCTAGGGTGTATGTGAAATCATATTGAAATGGGAGGATTTGGGAATGTTAGGGTTATTTGGAATCATTACCTTTGAAGGGTTATCATACAGGAACACTGAGCAAAATGTGTCATTTGCAACTGTTTAATTAAATACTAAAATATATGTACATGTATATGGTCGTTTACACCATTACTTCCCCGAAAGATCAAAGCTGTACAATCTTTTCACAAACATGATCTGTCTGATATGAAAGAGGACATCAACTCCCCAACTTATCTCAGTGAGTTGTTTTGTGAAAATAAATTTTGTTTCCTCATTAGCAACAGGATGCTTAAGGTAAAAAAGAAACACCAAAATGCATCAGAAGCCCAAGAACTTCATCAGAACAGTTCCATTCACTGGGCATAAATTAAGATGCTACCTCCGAAGTCTGAATGGAGCACAAATTTCAACTTTTTTTTTACTCCTACATTGCTCATATCAAGAGCTTTAATCTGATGTACGATTTTACCAAGTCTAAAAACCTGACTAAAATTGTTATTTCTCATTTTGAAACGAGTCACCTCGATTAGTGTCATGCATTGTAACTCCACTCAGGGCAATTATGGATGCATATTTTCAATTTTTTTCTGTGCAGTTTGAACTTAAACCATGACACTGTCTTAATGATTGAAGACAAATTAAAACGTGCTACATTATTTTTACAGGATGCACCACATAATGGGCCTCTACTCATGCCACTGCAAGCCTCATTAGACGTTTCAACACATGGAAGCGGTTTAAGTTTGTCCAGAAACTGGGCTACTGCGTTTAGATATTCTTTATACTTTAAAAATATTTAAACACAGCTATGAAAACTTCAGATTTTACTCACCATCTCACGCATCAGCAGATGAATTTTTCAAGTCTCAACTGCGTGCCTAACCGAAATTTCCTGGTCGCTTTTTTAGGAAATTCTGTCCGGAGTTCCAACCACGTGTGATTTTGAATCAACTGGTACCCACGACTAAATTGGATCAGAATTGCAGTACAAAGTTCATTCAATGGTTACCAGGGACTGTGAACTCTCTCTCTCTGCGGAGCGCCTGCTGCGTGAAAAGTCGTATTTTAACGTGATTTAGGTGGGGGACAATTTGGGCCGAGTGTGACGGCGCGCACATTTGAAAAAATAAATGCCTGAATGTGTTTTATAATTGATAAAATTCAAATTATATATCTTGCTCTGTATTTCCCAAATCTTATGCTTTCTTCCTTAATTATGCCTATAATATTAGAAGGGTTTGATTGAATAACAATGGAAAATTCAAAAGGCTGGGATTTTGCCCTAAAAAAAAAAAAGGTTCAATCTGTAATCACAGGTAGTATGAATAACTTGGATCCTACAAACCGCCATTTTAAACATTTGGATAAGGGTGATAGGCGATTTATGGGGTCAAAATTACTCGAAGCCGTAATAGGTAGGACAGTCATGGGCGTCGCAGGGGAGAGAGCAAGCCCGGAAGAAATGCGAAAAATAAACTAAAGGGGGAGAGAAAAGGTGGGAAATTGCTGACTTTGTGCTGAAAAATTAGGGGATAGGGAATTGTGGTGGGGGATAACTTGCCTGGCCACGAAAATTTGTGGGAGGAGAGGGGGTGATGACACCATGCAGCACTGTATGGGGGTGATGTTCATGATACAGATGTACATCTGTGATCAGGGGCGGATCCACAAATATTTCCGGGGGGGCGGTCAGGCCAGAGATCTGTTTAATGTCTCATTTTTGCAAACTAGTGGAAACGATGACGAAACACAAACCATGACATACATTGTTTACAATGGTACATGTATTGGTGAACTTACTTCAGTTATTTTTTTTTTATTATTATTTTCCCCATATTTACCCTTTTTTTTGTGTCAGAGCCTGGTAATCTTAAAATTTCAAAAGTCCTATGGAATACATTTTGGTTATTGGGAAGCCTGAAAAAGTCTTCAAAATCTTCTTTTCTTTTCTGACCATGAAAAAGTGTGTGTGTGGGGGGGTGAGTCCATGCCCTCACATCAAAAAGTGGGAGGGATTTATGCCGAAGGGGGGGAGTGCGAGAAAAAATCAAACAGGTTTGAAATCGGCATTCGTTTGCCTTAAAAATTTATAATTTATTCCCTACCGCTGTTTATTTCTACTGCCCCCCCCCCGGAAAAAATCCTGCCAACACCCATGAGGACAGCTTGGCAATGTTAGTCTTTAGTTGCGACCACAGTCTGTCTAGGTGCAGGGCAATGGAGAAATGGGGCGTAACAAAGTAGGAATAGTACGAAGTAAACAGTTGTTGTATGTCCCTAAAGTCATGGGCCAAGTTTTTTTGGGGGGGTCTCTCCTATCCCAAAAGGGGAAGGAAACTGTTCACCAAAGGCTTTAAAAATGATGAAGAACGGACTCTTTATCAGGTCAGTAATAAAATACCAACTTCACTGTTCAGTCATTTGTCAGCATGAACAGTTTGCCTCCTCATTTTGTAACAAGGTTGTTGATGTTCTTTAGCCCGGGTTAAACAACTTGTTAATTACATTGAAACCAATTTCAAAGGTATCCATTCATCCTGCCATAGCGAACAGTTTTTATTCACGTTTATTTCCTCCAAAGTTACTCACAAAAGTACTGGGGAGGTATCTAATCTGCCATCTTAGACTGGCAAATTTCTGTTGTTTTTAAAGAAGTAAACGAGCAGAGGAACAATAATCAGTTTGGAAAAAAAACAAATTAAAACACAAAACACCAAGAAACGATTAAATGAAATGTGCAATGTGTTGGAATTCTGCGTGGAAATAACTAGGATTGAGCTTTTTTTTCATAAACATAAAACCTATTCAAGAACAGCTCTTATAAATGATTTGTGAAAACTAAAAAGGTAACGCATTTTAATTTTCACCAAATTCCCAATTTTTATAGATGCATAACTGTTTAGGTGCAATTGTTGAAGTGACTTATACCAAAGCATGGGATTGATAAAGACACTTCACAACAGAAACTGGCAACTAAAAAAAGGAACAGAAAATTACAAACACAACATACAGTCAACACTTTGTCCATTTTCAATTTGTGGTGGGGCTCTCCAAGTGCATATAACATTGTTAGCAACTGCAAACTGGGGACATTTCAAAATGTTGAAAAAACAACAACATTAAATTCATGATGTTTGTAAATGACATCTCCTCAAAACACACGCTTGCCTTTTTTGAGGTAAAAATTTAAAATCTTTTCTTCGTACATGAGCAAGACTTCTGTTCTTGTTTGAATGTGAAAAATACGAATCTGTGTCGTACATGAGCGGAAGCATTCTATAACTCTGTGCAAATATCTTTGCAGGATTCTTTGGAATGTTCATCAGTACCTGCTGTCCTAATATTTTTTCTTCTTCATGATTTCTGGCTTCCAGTTGATTGGATGGGTCTCTTCCGTCTGTGAATAAGAACACACAGAAACAAATTGTAAGGCCAAAAAGAAACAGCTCCTCGGTTCTTACGTTATTATATTTGACAGAGTGACGCAAATGCACTACTGTGATACGAGTAAGTACTCAAAGGGTTAACCTGGCAATGTTGGCGTCTGAGATGTATCATGTACGGTAATTATATTTAAGTAACAAAACTGACAACCTCAAAACAACACAGAAAATGGCAACTGCCTCCAACCATCCAATTGAAAAAGGGAAGACTTGAAAAACGTAAACTTGCTAAATGTTAAGAATCCATCAATTAGAATAAAGTCTTTCTGATTCACACAATTCGGTAAGGTCAGGGTTAATGTATAAATGTGGCTGAGCTGCAATGCTACTTCATGAGGTTTGACCTTGTTGATCAAATACGGAATCCATCAAGTAGAACCACACAGCTGTGGTCAAGTTGACTTCAGTTGAAATGCTGTGAATTGGCTGTGGCAACATCTCTCAGGACAAGTGAACAAGAAAAGAGAAAAGAAATCCCAAATAAGCTGATTATCCTTACGGCTTCCTCGTCTTCTTTGTATATCTTGATGGTCTTGTCGGCCTCGGCAGTGATGAGTCGACTCTGGCTGTTGTCAAACAGGCAAGCAAAGATCCCTGCCTCACTGTCGATTGAGCCTGGCTGGATTGGGGCCTGGGTGCGCTGGAAATTGTAGCCAGTCCGCCAGTCCCAGAAATGCAGGGAACCATTGTCGCCTGAGGACAAAAGCATACATGGGTGAGAGTGAAGGTTGCCATATCATCAACGTTCAACATGATACCTTTGAAAAGGTTTGGACTTCTCTGTGGTAATAAAATGAAGATATCAAATGACTGGCAACACTGTGTAATAGGTTCAACTGCTCTGAAATTACCCAGCTGTCCTACTTTGTTATATTGAACTGATTTGAACTGAGTAGTCAAATAAAATGAAAACAAGTAGCGCACGTCATTCCTGCAAATCCAAATTGCATATCCAACAAGTAGAAAATGCCTGAAGTATCTCTTCACTTTAAACTGAGAAAACCAAGAAACCTGTACAGAATTTAGCGGAGGCTTGTCTTTTATTTAATTCTAAAAATAAATACCCTCCACATGGCATTAAGCCAGGAAAAAACTAATCCCCACTTACATAAATCCTATACAGAACAGAACTGCACTTCTTTGCGCTAAATAGGACATCAACTTAACCGCATGCTGCCGGGTGGTTTGAAAAATGCAGTGCACACATACGGACGAATTTCAAGATTTTCAGTTTTCAGAAATCTTCAAAAATTCATCATTTCAATTAATGGACTTTTACACCCACATGAATTACTGCCTGGTGGCCACTGTAGCCTGACAGACAAAATCTAACGCCTGAGTATTTCAGCCAGGCCTGCAGCCTTGTAAAAAGAGCCCAGATTGTGGGGTGTTATCTTCTTTTGTTAACGAACCTGGCACAGCGCGCACTGACCTCTTTTCAATAAGGGCCAGAATAGCGTGCAGCGGTACTGTGTGGCTCACCGCTGCAGTGGTGGAGTGCTTTTGTCCCCGCTTGGTAATCTGCTTGCACTAAATACCCCAAACCGTGATGTACTGTTTCAAAACATGTCTGGATTATCTCCACTATTGAGAGTGAAAAACTGTCGGTAATGCCCAGCAGCTGAGTCTTTTGTGCCGAGCAAGGTCTTTTGTTACAAGGCCCAGCTCTTTTGTCCCGGTATAAGGCTCCCCGGCTTCGTGTATAAAGCCTATGTGCTCGAAAACGGGTCCCCCGGCAGCAGGTGGCTAATACTCAAAAGTGACCGCCAAGCACTAAAATACATCCAGATAATTGCATAAGAGTGAAAAGAGCTTGACTAGTTTTGGACGCACCTCCAGAAACCAGGACACCATCTGAATTGATGGCCAAGCAATTGATAATGGCATTGTGACCACTTAGGTTCTGTATGAAGTTACCATCAGGGAACTTCCATTGCTTTATGTTGTCTGGAGACGCTGAGGCCATCATATGCCTGATGGTAAAGAGGAGAGAATTCAAAGTAAATTAAACAACTGCTGTAGTTGAATAGTTTTCTGTCATCTCAAGGAATCAGATTTTTTTGGAAAGTCTGAATAACAATAAATGGTTTTAAGCAAGCCATTGTTTGAGTAATGTAATCCTTGAGCCTGCATTTCGGAGAGTTTGCAAGTGAAATGAGGAATGAGGTCTATCTGAATGATAAATCACCAAATTGCCTGATTCTGTATTCACTGTCGATCCTGTACTTGTTCGTAACACCAAAGTCAGTTTAACTAGGGTTGACAACAACCTGTGAATGGACTTGCCCTAAGATGTCAGCATGGTTATCCAATTTGGTACTCACAGTTTGGGATGGATGACCAACGATCGCACACTCTTCTTGTGGTTGGTTAACGTCGCACGGCTTTTACCACCTGCAAGATCCCACAGACGCACTGTCGAATCATGACCGCCGCTCACCACCTGGAACAAAAAAGGACACCATAAATTCTGCTGGCAATGAAAGCTAACGAACATCAACTTGTCCAAGCATCACACAAGCATTTTCAACTTGTTCTTTTGAATGCAAAAATTTGAAAGGAAATATCAAAAAATGGAATATTGTGAATACTGTAAATCACTGCAGTGCGCTTAATACTTGAAAGTGAGATGCAAATACTATAAACCAAACCCATAAAGATTAAATATACTTTTTTCTGTACAAAAAAACGGGTCCTTTCAAGTGTCTAAAATGAAAACAAAGACTGGAAAATATGAATTCCAGAATACTCTGCAAAAAAAAAGTTTCTTAAATATGAAACTGAAATCACTTTAGAAAGGGGTGGCTAAAAATGAAAAATAACCAAACAACTTCAGTCTGTGATACCAAATTATGGCCGTTTTCCAATACTCAACTTTGGCTCCGTCTCAGGCTTCAATAGTTTTTTTACTAGCTGACTTTGAAGCTGTAAGCGCAGTAATCGGTCTAATAGTGCCACAGGACATCAAATAAGATGCAAGAAAGCCCAAAATTATAGTAATCCAATGTAATTTAAAAGCTTCAGGCCCACAATCGGGGATTGATTTGGGAATGAAGCCTGAGACGGAAACGAAGTTGAGTATTGGAAAACGGCCTATGTATTGGTGGGTTTAAATTACATTTACATTTGAAAAATGAACACAGTTCTTTGTCCAAACTAACTTTGGCGCAAAGGGAAAATTTATTTGGCCGAGTTCCAATTTGATTTGACTTGGGACAGATAAATCAAGGTTAAGACAAGTCATGCCCACCTGTGGCTCCGCTGCCTGACACTTGACCGTGGCGACTGTATTGGTGTGACCGCTCAGTGTGTGGATGCAAGCCTTAGTTCTCATGTCCCAGATACGCACGGTGGAGTCGCGGCCACAGGTAGCCAGGATGTCAATGGTTGGATGAAGGTCAAGAGCATAGACTGCACTCAGATGGCCATGATAGTGTCTGATGACCTGTCAGAAAATGGTCCGAGAATGTTTTGTTGTGTGTAGTAAGAGCTGCACAACAGAACTCTGTTAACAGCACTAACAGAAGGCTGCAACACACCTCAAACTTGTCAGTTACACCAAAAAGTAACAAGTGATCAGTTCCCTGGGTTCCACACCCCTCAAAATCATGGAAACACTTGCCCCTTACGCAAAACACAAAGTTAAGAGATAAAAATTCTTACAATCTCTTCCAATACAGCTAAACAAATATAATTTACATATGACTGGCACAGTAATACAGCCGTTTCACAATAGCGCGCCACCAAGAGTTTGCAACGCATTGGCCAATCACAATGCGCGAAATTTGTCGACCCAATGCACGTTTGGAAAGGGTCGACAAATTTCACGCGTTATGATTGGCCAACGCGTTACACACTCTTGGTGGCGCACTATTGTGAATCACCCGCATTGCAGAATAAACTTGAAAATTCTCGAATAATTCAGTAACTGCAGTGACTGTCAAATACGAGAAACAAATACTCTTGGCACTGAAAAGATATGTTTTGCTTTAACACTTGCTGACTGTATTAACTTTAATTTTGCAACTATTATGCTTGAATCCAGCATCACACACCATCTCATCTGGGTACTGATGGAAGCCTAGGTTCCTTACCTTATTTTGTTCCAAGTCCCAGCATTTGACCTGTTTGTCTTCTGAGCATGAGAATAAATAGGGCTGGCGTTTGCTGACTGCCAGACCACGTACAGCACTGATGTGACCAGTCAAGGAGAGTTTCAACTTGCCACTTGCCTGAAGGGGGAGGAGACAATGACAGGGAACCAGTGAGTCTGGATGTTTGGAATCTGAGAAATACTGCATGCAACTATGGTGCTTCTGATCCAAACTCTTTTAAAGGTCAGATGTTTGAACATCAAATTGATTTACAATCAGTTGACAGCAGCAGCGTTGTACATGAACGGACGGCTCTTTATGAACTCTATGATATCACATAAACTCTCACTACTAGACTGCTACTTACTACAGTGGAACGCCGCTGTAACAAACAAGACGGGGTCCACGCTAAATGTTCAGTACAGCGGTTGTTCGGTATAGCGAATTTAACTGCCGAACGTTTTGTTGCCATGTTGAATAGCGCCCTCTCTTGTCTAACCAAAGTGCACCCTCTTGTGATACCTTGGCTCGCTTTTTTCATGATGTTTTGCCGTTGCATTCAAGTTTAAGGTTTCTAGAAATGTATCTGTTAATTATTTTTGTTTCTTATTTAAACTTGAGTCAAAAAATTGATATCAAGCTTATTCTAAAAGTTGTGAAACTACCGCTCAGGATCGATCTCTGATGCATGCTGTGGTGAATCATGGTTGATTTTTGTTATCAGCGGCACCCTCTTTAGACGATTGTTAGTGCAATGTCACCGTGCGCGTATGTGCGGTTTTCTTCCACACCCGATCATGTGGAGTCGCAAAACCAGTGTCTATTCAATACCACTGACAGGTAGTGGCTTTCCCTTCAAATCCTTGGGGAAATAACGGGTACTTGTCACTTTCCCACATAAAAAAACACTGACTGTTTTATCCTGTTGACGTTCGGGAATTACAAACGGCAACTGAATAGTGTTCGGTAGGTTCTGTGCACAGATTATTGGGAGCCAAGGACAATGTTCAGTACAGCCGAATGTTCGGTATAGCGGTGTTCCGTATAGCGGTGTTCGGCATAGCAGTGTTCGGTATAGCAGTGTTCGGTATAGCGGTGTTCGGTATACCAGTGTTCGGTATAGCGGTGTTTGGTATAGCAGTGTTCGGTATAGCAGTGTTCGGTATAGTGGTGTTCCGTATAGCGGTGTTTGGTATAGCAGCGTTCGGTATAGCGGTGTTCGGTATAGCAGTGTTCGGTATAGCGGTGTTCGGTATAGCGGTGTTCGGTATAGCGGCGTTCCACTGTAGTACTACTACTAACTTACTACTTCTCTCACTACAGGTCAAGCTGATCCCTAATCGTAGAAGAAAAGTCCAAGAATTGAACCATTCCTATAAAGGTATATTGAAAAGTACCACTGGCAATGCCCTAAAACCAAAGTTCAAAATCTACTGCTAAGCTACAAAGAGGCTCAGATAAAGTAAGACCTCAGCTATAAAAATGTTTTGAAACAGATTCAAGACAACCAGCATCTCGTCAGGGGAACAGCTTACCAAATCCCATATCTTGATGACTCTGTCGTTGGACCCTGTCACAAACCACTGGTTACCGGGCTCTACAGCAATGCTACGAACCCATCCGATATGGCCGCTGATTACCCGGTATAGCTTCCATGGTGGTCTCCACTGCGGTTTGGGCATTGTGGGTGCCTTTCTGGGCACAATGGCACCTGACTGTTTGCCTCCGCTGGGGACTGCAACGAGCGCCTGAATGGAGAATTTAATTCACACGTAAGTACTGTGAAACAAGCATTTGGTTTTTCAAACCACGAGGTTAATCTCCAGTTGGCAACCAGATTCCCTTTCAACAGGTGTATATGTATTTTGCAAAGTTGACCCAGTATGCTGATCTGAATGCAGAAGGTTATAAATGATTTTTGATTGAGGGTAAAAGTTGCCAGGATGTGCTCACAGGCATTTTAAATTTCAAGGTTAACACTCAGTCTTCAGCAAAGGTAAGCACAGAACAATTTCTGTATTACTCAGTATATGTACATGTACTTTTAACATGAAGAAATTTTAAAACTCTTAAAACGAGATAGGATAGCAATGTTTGAAGAAGAGCAGGTGGTACATGAGGAGATAAATCAAATTCTTCGGTCACACAAATTACCCTTGACCCTGGTGGACCCGCCCTCTCTGGTATCCCAGCATGCCTTTCGATATCCTCCACACTTGCTGCCGTCTTTTCACGGTCAATCCTACAAAAGAACAGTTTATACATCAACAATAAATAAACACAAATGAAGGAATCTCAGACAATACTGTTGGACCTTGTATTTTTGGGCATTAATCCATGAAAAAATCCACAATGAATCCGAAATTATGAACTCAACAGATTTTTATTAGTTTTATTCTTCAATACCGTTAAAGCTTCTATTGCTTCAGCATTTCAGGGCAACCAGTTTTTGTAATGATTACTACACCACTTCAACCATATACATTCAGTTCTGTTAAACCAAGAACTGGTGTCTAACGTGTAGACATGTTTCACTGGACTCACCATGACTGTGATGGTGGTAGATCAGCTAGCACACCCTGAACAGCCCCTTGACTGAGTGGATGTTGCTGGGCAGCCGTCTCCGCTGACAGAGGAACACCTGTTGTGAAAACAAGAAACAGTGGAGAATGGCAATCACAGCAGAAAACGTTCAAGAGAGAAAGGGTACCAATGAATTTACAACCTTGAATTCATGGAGTGAGCTGCATCAATGAGATAAAAATGGACAATCAGATACATGTAATACATGTATCTGAATTTAAATACAAAGTTAAGAGGGTCCGACGCTTTCATCCTAGCAAATCTGTCACTTACAGGATTGTGCTAATTGATATGATTAGCTTACCGGGTGCATTTGGATACTGGAAACCTGTTGTTACTTGTGTATGAATGTCAGCAAAATCTATAAAAACAAATGGGGAAATAATTTTCAGAGTAAATGTAGCAAAAACCTACACTAAATTAAATGTTACACCTGCATGAGCACAGAACCTAGCAAAAAGTCACACTTCCCTTGACAGCACATTTAATAAATTTAATAAACTTTTCACAAAAAACCTGAAAATACACTGACATGGAGCAACTGTTAAAACTGTTAATGAAGACAATTTTTACACAACTAGTAAGAGATCAGAGCGGCTAAATTTACACAGTCAATACTTATTCCTTATTTGGGTAAAAGAAAGCAAACTTGCTGTAAGATGTTTTTAACTTAATGTTTTTACTTTTTCGGTTTTGGTGTGTGCATTGACTAGTTGCTTTAACCCCTCAGATTTTAATGCATTTTAACCAGAAAGGAAGAGCACTTCAATACTGAGAAGTTTCCACCTCATCCTTTTGGCAGTCACATTCTTACACTTGCTTCTTACACAATATGACAAAGGGTTCATGTGATAAATCTTTTCAGCATCTCACTTTTTGGGGGAGGGGGTGGAAGAGGGATATGGAAGTTACAATTTGATGGTACTTTCTGATTTGGGTATACCCTTTGTGGTCAATGTTTTAAATAAATGTATCTTCAAATCCTTTGTCTGTAGTTGTGGGGTCTACCCACCTGTTGAAAGATAGTTATCAAATAATCATGGGACCAAAGTCATCTTAGAGACATACAGACATCCCGCATGTCTGGTCCAAAATTTCCTAACAAAGACTGCCCCCTCAATGTGGTGCTAGCCAGGGCACAGTGACCCCTTTTGCATCCATCATTTCTGAAGAAAGGCTGATGAGATGGGAGGGAAACAGGATAACTGGCAGCTGCTTACCTTGACGGCTGTCCTGTGGGATATGACTGACATTGTTATGTTGTATGGAGGTAGGCTGCCTGCCTTCCCGTGGTGGTTGGAGATGCTGTACCATTCCATACTCGTCTTGAATTTTGCAAGCAATCTTGATTCTCTCACTGTGAATGGGGGGGGAGGGGATGGGACGGCATGATTCAGTATAGGACTAATATTATGCCTCTCTCAAGCTGGAACCATAATGCATTTCAAGGCATAAAATCACAGTGATAAAATGTAATCTGGTGATTTTCAAGGCTTTTGCGATAAGACCTGAAACTGATGACATTTAACAACCAGCCAGCTATTTGTTAGCAATTTCTGCGACCGATTTCACCTTATACAAACCACTCTCTGCGGGTGTGTCAAAGGAGACTTGTTCACTAACTGACCTTTTCTCATCAACAGGTGGTGGATGAATATTGTCTGAGATGAACATATCATGAGACCGCTTCAAGGATCTAAACACCAGTGTGTGCACAGAATGCTTTGTTACTTCCTGAGCGGAAAAACAAGACGAAAATGATTTCATCAAGAGGTGTAATACATTTATGCATGAAAATGCATGTATTACATTATACATGTATATATTCGTCATTAAGAGTTTGGCACATAACAGTATCAGCAAACAATAAATCTCAGTAGGAACATATTTCTCAAAACCAAATATTTGTAAAGAGTACATTTTGTTGTGAACCGGTCACATATCATTTTTTATACAGCCTGCACCAAACTACCAGTACGAGTGAACCCTTAGCCTTAGGGACTGTTTGTTTCACATGGGTCTGAATCTGGAGCAGTAATCCTAATGCATCAGGCAAGTTTTGGTGTCTGTAAATCAACAACGGATCACTGATTGTGATCCAGATTTGTGTGAAACAAACACGGCCAAAACAAGAGGGTGGCAACAAGAGATTAAAATGTCAGATTTTCCAAAAAAAAATTGGTTTCATGGTCTGAAACTACCGTACAAGAGCTATAGGTACCCTACAGTTGCTCGCAGGGGAAAACTTGATTGAAAAAGTGGACTTTGTGTTACCCAATCATTTACTGCAAAAATTTGATTCAAAAAACACATAGCCCCAAATTAGTGAGGCACATGGACAGTTCCAGATTTTCATTGCTTTGTGATGCTAAGGGATTCTGAATGTGCCTGTTTTTTTCTGTCTAAAACTGCACTTTTCAATCAAATCTTCCCCCAAAAAAGCTGTCCCCACTAAATAATAAGCTGCGTACTATGTCCATTGAATAGAAGACTGATTCCCATCCCGTCCTCTGAACATAATAGGGACAGCGACCAGTCCAATAATGCAATGTCATTTCCATGGGTATGATCTTGCCCCACAATGTTAGTTCTCTGTGAAGGAATGCACACACGACCCATGGAGTCGAGGTTCCCAATGAGGCGATGCAGTCATCGTAAGTCAATGAACTGGTTGCTCTCCCTATAATACACGTTTGGATGGTGGGGACAGGACGGAAACCAGTCTTTCGTTCAACCGACATGCACCGTAGTATGCAGCTCAAATGTGCAGATTGTTTGTTGAAGAGAGGCAAGATCGTAAGTAGATGGTATGAATTTTGCCAAAAATAACCCGTAGATGGTCTAAATATCATCATGATTGCCTGTTATTTTGTTAATGAGATATTATTTAGTGTGGACAGCTTTTTTTGGGGGGGGGATTCGATTGAAAAAGTGCAGTTTTTCAACCAAATAAACGGACACATTCAGAATCCCATAGCATTACAAGGCAATGGTAAAGAGTTCCAGATATGGACAACAATTTACCCTATCCCTACTCAATCCTTCACCTGTTGGAGGACTGAGGAGTGTTAGGGTTAATGCCTGGTGCACAAACCTATAAGACTTTGCTTTCCAAGCAATGAAAATGTAGAATAGTGTGAGGCACACAGACAGTGCCTCATAATTCTGGGAGTTGCCTTGGCCTACACACACAACCCCACATCATGCACATGCATGACATGTCATGGCCTAGGCTAACTTGCAATACGCGTTACGAATACGACCCCATGGAGGCCTAATCAACAATTACCCCAGAACTGTGGGTCCGACGTCCGCTCGCGCTCCTCTCCCACGAACGGACCCCACCTGCCCACAGTTCTGCATGTTCTGGGGTTAGCCTAATCAACATGGATTCAAGTCACACGGAGTACTGGCTTCGATTTCTGCAAGTAATCCACTGCTAAAACTTAAACTACCCCCAGAATTTTGGGGGTCGTCGTCTGCGGTCCCACGAGGGAGCGCGGCGGACAGTCATCATCATGGTCATGGCGGACCACAGTGATCCCGAGGACGAATTCGGAATAACACAGCACAGTCAGTGACAGTTCAGGGGGTAAACTACAGAATAAAGCTCTTTGAACACAAAATAGCAACCTACCTCCATGTTGCTTCAGTTTCTAGGTAAAATTATAAACAAAATCGAGTTAAAATGCAAGTTAAGTCTTGAAAACAGCCGAAATTCGACAACTGCTCGCACATTTTTACAAAAAAACACTTGTGTGGGTCGCCATTTTGTTTTCCATAATTATTTTTATTGAATAAAGTTCGTGTTCGGTAAAACATTTTAAAATAGATTTTCTAAGTCTAAAATAAATAAAAATTAATATTTTCCGTAAAATATTTTTCTTACAGTATTGGTGGTAAAATTTTGTGATTTGGGTTTTAAATCATAATTGTTATTTTTAACATTTTGTACGAGACATATTTAATTGGCGAATTGACGTCACAAGTTGCCAGGTTCTAGTGTAAACCACCTGCCTGGTCCTGTTTCGTCACTTGAAAGTAGCAAGTAAAATCGACAAAATTCAGTTGAAGTTAGAAGATTGCTTGAAATGGTGAGATATAAACTGAGATATTGGTGTTTTTTCATGCTAAGCCTAATCTCTAAGCAATTTACAATTCAGATACCTCATGAATGAGGTTTGAAGCTAACGTAGCCCGATATTCGGACGCTATTTTGTGAGGAGTTTCAGTTCATACACCGGGGAGGGTAGTAGAATTCAAGTCGACAGGTGTTCCTGAAAAATGTTTTTCTCAACTTTCCAATAAATTCCAAGGAAACGCAAGTTTGTGAGCTTCAGAAGCATTACAAATTAACCTTTTTAACATTCTCATTGGATCTTGAGATTGGATGTCCAAAAAGTTCGTCAAAAATGAATTTATAATTTTCTTCTGAATATTTCATAAGAACCTGTTCTTCAAGTCATGGATGCATGCATAATATCCAAAACCTTTTCAACACAACAAGGAAATTGTTTGGAGGAAGAAAAAGTACTTTCCCTCGTTGCCTTTTTTTTAAAGGTAGCAGTCACTTGACATTGAAAAATGAATGTGATTGGTCAATGTGGCATGAATAAGCTTTGAGTGCTTATTCTAATTGGCCAATAGTGGCTCATTACATTAACATTCACAGTGTTAGTCCAAAACAAAAGCAAATTTTCTTAAATGGGATACCCCAAATTGTCTTTTAAGGTTTTAAAATTTGAATTTTGTGAATATCTTTATCCCAAATCTGCAATGCAACACTTGTGAAAAGAGCATGGCTGGAATTGGAGTATGTACAAATATGGAAACAGATAAAAGTTTGCAAGTGGTATGAACACCAGTAAGATTTAAAAGGGGCACCTGTTGGTTTAAGAGGGTTTAAGGGTAGTGAGTAATATGGGTTTTTTCCTTGGGGAATAGATTTAAAATGTATGGATGGATCAACTTGTAGTTGTTTATAACTTTCAGGAATTGTAATGGTCAGCTGAATAATTCTTTCCTCGTCTTCCTTACTTTTCACAGACAAAGAAGTGGATTATATGAATGCTCTTAACATTTTGCCTTAACACCATAATTGAAAACAAAACCTGTAACTTGATTTATGTAAATGGTAGCCTTGGTATGTTGCACTGAGGTAAAATTATTTCTTTTCTCTGTGTAGTCTTCAGAGAAGGTTGGTATAAAGGTGGTGGCTCGATGTCGCCCCTTTGTAGAATCAGAACAAAGCAAGGGAGCAACAAGGATTGTGAAGATGACGGGAGACAAGACAACAATCCAGAGCCCCCAGCAAGGAGGAACTGGAAAAGTAATGTTTCAATTTGGCCTGTTTTTGTAATAAAAAGATTGTTCAACAGGTAACATGTAGGCCCAACTAATATTTGGAGGACTTCTTAGAAATTGAAAAAAAGTTTGTCACATTTTTGTAGGTTGAGCATATACCTGTGTTAGGTTGGTACCTGGAATATTGCAGTGTCAGTTCTTGATTCAAATTCTTGATTTCTGTCTTACAGGAGAGTGCATTTACTTTTGATGCAAGCTATTTCTGGGATGTACGAGCTGTAAGTTGACAAAATTTCATAACTGTAAAAAGTCTAAAGATAAAGAGATTTTATGATTCTGAGAAAAATCTATGTCTCCATATTTGGTGAGGTTAATTGAATCCCTTGTGATTTTGAATTCATCCACGTGCTCCAGTTGTTTATTTGGTAATGACTGAACGGTAATGATTGCTTAGTTGATGTGAAGAATATCCCCTGACTTTGTTAGCTAAAGAGATTGACCAGTTCTCACTTCTGCTGTCTACTTTCATACTAACACCTCAGGATATTCGTGGAAAACCTTCCACAAGTCCATCAAATGGCACACTTTTGTACTTAAAATCACTTAAAATTACTTAAAATCATCTGTTGGAAAGTGATAGTTGGTTCTGCATTCCTACGTAAATCCTTCAAAATCCCCCAGAACGTCCTGTTGGGTTTTGAAGGATTTGTGGGCATTAGCAATAAACAACTGATTTGCTGTAATGAGAAAATCTCAATACAATTCTAAAGCCATTTGATTTTGTTTGTATTTCAGAGCCAAATCTACAAGGAACAGGTTGAACCCCTCCTGAAGAAGTCACTGGATGGTTACAACGTGACCCTGATGGCTTTTGGGCAAACTGGAAGTGGAAAGACCCATTTGTTGTCAGGGACAGTGGAAGATCCTGGCATTGTTAGCATGGTAAGACATCGTCAAGACAGTGCATTCAGTGAACCAATTAATTTGTGACTGTATCCTATGCATTGCTATTACAATGTCTTGAATACTCTCACAGCATTGTCAAGATCAGTTCATGGTTTGATGGTAAATTTACACTCTTTTGAAGACTGCTTTTAAGAAATGTATGCAGGAAAGTGGAAACTCCTTCTTTCGGCATGTCATTTTCTCCAGATTAAACTTTTCACGAAATGTTCCCTTTACAGTTGAATCGTAGCCTCTTCAAGCACATTGATGAATCATCCAAGCTTTTCTTTGTCTCTGTGTCTTTTGTGGAGGTATGTGTTTAATGTACTTGTTAAGATATCTTTTGCCATTAATGATGGAAGTTCGTTTACAAGTTTGGAAGGTACATTTGTGACCTTCAACTATTACAAGAGTTCATTCTTGCTCACAAGAAGTTCAAGGTAGACTGGAACATACCTATCCAGAAAGTAACTTTTAAATGTAAAACGTTTATGTATGTATTCTTTCTTCAAAATTACTTTGATAAAAAGAAAATGTGATCCATGTGTCAGCCATGGTCATAAATCTTAGCAACCAGTGTCAAAAATGTCCCTCAAGTTATTAAAACCATAAGATTTTTGCTATCTGTAGATTGTGGATGAGAACTTCATGGATTTATTGAACCCGCACAGTAATCCAATGAAACTCAGGCAGCACCCACAAGCTGGAACGTGAGTAAACATTTGAAACTTACAAGCACAGTTTAATAATCACTCAAAATCTAAGGTACTCCTTGTAACTGAGTATGATATTTTCAGCTACTTGTCAGAAACATGATAAAATAATAGTTTGTCAAAACTAGGTGCATTTCTGTAGTATCTGTGCAGTGATGATCAATCATTTGTTCTTGTATCTATATGTTTTTAAAACAGCATTTTATTTGTTGGTACAGGTTTGTGGATGGCCTGTCTGAGCTGGTTTGCAAGAATGGGGATGATATTGCCAAGTTCTATGACCAAGGAAACAGGGCTCGGAGGATGGGATCATCTGATGTCAAGGCACACAGGGAAAGGTTAGCCCATTAGGATGACTTGTAAATCCTTCTTCAAGCTTGCAAATACCCACTGAACACGAAGCTGATAATAGTTGTCTTATGTTTTGGTTGACACATTGTTTAATAAGAATTCAGTACTCCCTGAAAGGGACTAAGGAAATTAGTGATAGATTTATAAAAAAAAAGATCTCTTTAAGAGGTGTATCACTTGAACGTGAATAAGACCAGTATTAAAATACCATGACAACATCTCATTAACCCTAACAGTCCTCAATCCTTCACCTGCTGGAGGACTGAGGACTGTTAGGGTTAAGCTGGACGCAGGTGATAATGAAAACTAGTTTATATCTTGAAGTACATATAGACCTTTTTCACCCACGTGACTGAATTGCGCTAAATGTAAACAATGCCACCACGTGTGGACCGCTGTGGCTACGGGGATCGCATGTCTTCCTACGGGCAGCTTCAACCACGTCTGAACACTGCATGCTTGACTTGTTTATCTTGAATAAGTAGATTACCATCACAACACTATGCACTCATTACCATCACAACATATCGCGGTCCAGCACAATTGTGACATCACAGGAAAAAGGTCTATAGATGTTTTAGAAAAAAATGCTTCAAGCCTCCATGTGGTAACTTCTTCAAATGTTAAGTTCCAATTCTTACCCAGTCGTACTCTTTAGTGTAGAAAAGAGGTCTTGTTATTTCACAATGAGACTGAAATTCCTTGACAATGATGACTGTGTGCATGATAACTGCTTGCCCCACAGGGCCCACTCTATCTTCACTGTCACTGTAGAGCACAAAGAAGCAGATGGAGGTCACTGCGTAAGGAGCAAGATAGCAGTGGTGGATGTAGCAGGTAAGAATCTGGAAAGTACCCATTGACCTACAGTGCTGTAGTTGAATCCATCTCAAGTTATCCAGTCTCAAGCTAAGTCACAAGCTGTTCAAGTAAAACGTGAAACAAATAATTCATTTAGTCATTGTTAAGCCTTCTANCCAGCAGCCTTGTCTTTTGTTCGGAGTACGGTCTTTTGTTACAGGGCCCTGTTTTCTTTGTCCGAGTTCGGAGACCCTGGCCACACATATAAACCATACGGCTCCGATTTCGGAGTCCCCGGCTGGTAGTGGTTAAAACAACATTTTATTTGTTGGTACAGGTTTGTGGATGGCCTGTCTGAGCTGGTTTGCAAGAATGGGGATGATATTGCCAAGTTCTATGATCAAGGAAACAGGGCTCGGAGGATGGGATCATCTGATGTCAAGGCACACAGGGAAAGGTTAGCCCATTCAGTGCTTTGTGAGACAGTTAGGATGACTTGTAAATCCTTCTTCAAGCTTGCAAATACCCACTGAACACGAAGCTGATAATAGTTGTCTTATGTTTTGGTTGACACATTGTTTAATAAGAATTCAGTACTCCCTGAAAGGGACTAAGGAAATTAGTGATAGATGTATAAAAAAAAAAAGATCTCTTTAAAAGGTGTATCACTTGAATGTGAATAAGACCAGTATTAAAATACCACGACAGCATCTCATTAACCCTAACAGTCCTCAATCCTTCACCTGCTGGAGGACTGAGGACTGTTAGGGTTAAGCTGGACGCAGGTGATAATGAAAACTAGTTTATATCTTGAAGTACATATAGACCTTTTTCACCCACGTGACTGAATTGCGCTAAATGTAAACAATGCCACCATGTGTGGACCGTTGTGGCTACGGGGATCGCATGTCTTCCTACGGGCAGCTTCAACCACGTCTGAACACTGCATGCTTGACTTGTTTATCTTGAATAAGTAGATTACCATCACAACACTATGCACTCATTACCATCACAACATATCACGGTCCAGCAGAATTGTGACATCACAGGAAAAAGGTCTATAGATGTTTTAGAAAAAAATGCTTCAAGCCTCCATGTGGTAACTTCTTCAAATGTTAAGTTCCAATTCTTACCCAATCGTACTCTTTAGTGTAGAAAAGAGGTCTTGTTATTTCACAATGAGACTGAAATTCCTTGACAATGATGACTGTGTGCATGATAACTGCTTGCCCCACAGGGCCCACTCTATCTTCACTGTCACTGTAGAGCACAAAGAAGCAGATGGAGGTCACTGTGTAAGGAGCAAGATAGCAGTGGTGGATGTAGCAGGTAAGAATCTGGAAAGTACCCATTGACCTACAGTGCTGTAGTTGAATCCATCTCAAGTTATCCAGTCTCAAGCTAAGTCACAAGCTGTTCAAGTAAAACGTGAAACAAATAATTCCTTTGGTCATTGTTAAGCCTTCTG